TCAGAAATGATGGATGTGCTCACATCCTTCCCTAACATTATCGTTGATCTTTAACTACCGGGTAACCGGGCAGCAACAGGTGCTTTGTTCTTTTGTTTTAGCATGATGGACTCAGAAATCCCTGTTGGGCAASTCCTGAGTGGCCCTGGGGGATGGAATAGCTCTCCTGCAGCCTTGGCTGGAAGCAGGAAAATCTGAAATGAATATGGATGCTCTGGTATCCAGTATCTATCTGGTATCCAATGTCTGGTATCCAGATCATGTGTAACGGGACAGATCTCCTCAGAGAGATGCTCGCATGAGCTCAGCACCCACAATTGTGCCAGAGTTTCCAAAGAGCCTGGATCCTGTTCAGATAACAACATCAATGGCCCTGATATTCTGAGAGTGTTAAATGTGAGAAAGGGTATTGAACAGCTTTTGAGATATGGTAAGAATTTTAGCTGATATGCTTAAAAGATCTGTCTCCTAACAAAAGGAAATCACACTGAGAGTTCTGAAAGGCACCCAAGTGACTATGACTGTCAGTACACTGCCCACTGGACTGAAATGTATGAGAAGTGCAGAGATCTCTTGAGCTTCCTTAGATTTGCCAGTCCATGGCTGCAGCCAGACTTCAGCAGCTGYACTAACCTTTTCCACTGTATGCTGGAAGCTCTGGGGCCTGTGGATGCACGGAAGAACATTGAAAATCTGTGATTACTATTGCAAGTTACCTGATCTTTGTTATCTGTCTTATTTATGCAGCAAATGTGTTACAAAAGAGAAGGGGTTGTCAATGTGCTGTGTATGGAACTCAACATATGGACAAGTTACTGTGTTGCATAAGATTTTATCTTCCTTAGAAACTGTGACAGGAGGCTCCCATACTTTGTCTTTTAGGTACAATGTTTAGCTAAGCTTCTGGAACAGTCGTCAAGACGACTATGGGTAAAGAAAGCCCATAAAAACGTTAAAGATCATAAAAGTATGTGAACTGTAAGTTGGACATTTACTGACTGCATCCTGTAAGCCAGGAAAAATAAAGTTTGAGTGGGGTGGATTCAAAGGGGGAAAAGGGATGATTCTGGAGTGCAGACCAACTGGTTATGAATTATTGTTATAGAAATGTATGTAGAAGTAATATTTTTATAAAATAGTTAAGGGGGAGATTTAATTGAAAATTTTCTGTATTTTAGGGAGCATTGACTATATCTGGTCTTGTTACCATCCTAAGTCCTCCAGCAGTACAGCTCTCCCCAGACAGCTGCCATTAGGAGAGATGCTTAAAAGTTGGGACAGCCTCAGGAAATACCCTGGAGAGTGGATTGCAGTGTTCTGGGAAACCACCACATTCACCACAATAGACACAGAGAATCAAAAACATCTCTGACAGCCACAGTTGCTGTATTTTGGTCACAGGATGTTTTATAAAAGGGCAATTATGGATCCAGATAGCTACCCTCATAAAAGTTGTAAACACTGTATGGGATCCCGAGAGACTACATAACTTCACCTTGCTGTCCTGAAAGGCCTCTAATGATGGAGATGCCATAGGCTCTCCAGGACCTCTGACTGCTTTACAGTGCTTCAATATGGCTAACCTTAGCACCTTAGGAGTTAGAAACCCATGGTTTCTTGTGTTAAGCAGAACATTCATGAAGAACAKATTGTTTCTTTACTCCTTTCAGCAGCCTGTGAAAAAATCTTGCCCTATAAAAATCACAGAATGATGCAATATTTCAGGTCAGAAGGGACCCCATGGAATTACCTAATCCAACCTTCTGCTCAAAGCAGGGCTAACTTCCAAGGTAGCACAAGACTGTGTTCAGTTGAGTTTTGAGTATTTCCAGGGACAAAGATACTACAGTATTCAGGCTCCTGCTCCCATCCTTAACCAGCCTCACATGACCCTGGATTGACTCAACCTTTTCATAACAGGATGGCATTGTTGGTTTATGATCATCTGGTAATTTCCAGCAATTTCCAGGCCTTTTTCCATAGGATGTATTTCAAATTGAATGGACTAATTCTCTGTCCTGTGTTTGGGTAACTGATTATCTCTGCTTAAGTGCTGCATTTTGCATTTGATCACTTTGAATACCATACCATTTATTTCTGATCCTGTTTCCAGTTTGGCAGACCATTTTGAATTACAAACCTTTAGCATACTAGCAGCTTTCCCTGGCATGATGTTGTCTGTAGATTCCATGGTAAAGCTTTCTTCTGAAAACATAACTCTCCTTTGGTGGGTGGACACAGAGTCTCATTTATTTTCACCTCTCCTAGAGYGATGACAGGAATGCAGAGAAAGCATCAATCTGCATTGGTCTTTGGTAATAATTGGACTTTGCAAAGATAAAACAACAAATGGAATTAATTCAAGATCTATTTAAGGGTGATTCCAGTGTGTTCAGCATGTTTGAGATCAAGCATGAGACGAGTTAGCAGCAGAGACAATTGATCTGGGGGCTTTAGAGAGAGAAAGAATGTTTAAGTTGATTTACTTAGAATTATTTAGTTTTTTAAGTCATGGTTTGAAAGCTGGCTCTTGGTGGGAACTGTGCACACAATGAGCATGTTTGGCCTTGAGCACATGTATCTGGTTTTAGTTAAGCCAGGCTGGCCACACTCATTCCACTCTGTTCATGATCTCATTCCATGCTCCCTGTCATGGTATCTGCACACCATCCAGCAATATATTAAAGCATGAGTAACATGTCTTATGTTGATTATTCCATCACCAAGGGAGAAATGTGTCTTGTCTGGTAGGGAACTAAGATTGTTTTAAACAAAGCTCTATACTTATGCTGGAGAAAAGTCAAGAGCTGCGYCTTGTATTAGGAGGAAGAATTGGCAAGGTGTCTACTGGCCCTTGGGTAAGGCCATTTTGGGACTCAGACCAGCTACAACCAGAGAAAACCATGGTTCCTACGCTGCTGAGCCCTCCCTGCACTGTGGAAAGGCCATTTGCCCTGCTGCCAGCATGCTTCATCAGCTCATACACTGTGATACTTGGGGCACCTCCAAATTCTCCTATTAGTCCAGGAAGAGAAATGCTCCTAACAGTCTTTATTTTGCCWTTAATGAAATGACCAGGTTGGTGTTAGAAATGCAATGTGCTGTGTGTCAGCCGAGTGGAAGAAATGTCTCCAGGCTGTAGGGAGGAKAGGGAAAGCTTGAAAAACTCGTTCAGCTGCTCAGTGTTCATATTTGCGTGTGCAGTGAACGAACTGAACCCTGTGCCCCTGCTGGGCCTGTGTTCAGTGTGTGTTACCACAGGGCAAGTTTTCTGCTTCGGTCATCTGTCAGACTGGAGGGGAAGGGCTCTTGCTAGTGGCTGTCATTAGAGGCTGCATCATTCTCTTTGCATATTTACTGAGTTAAACTCCAGCCTCAGCAGCCATCTGTGTGGAAAAGGAGGTAACTCTCTGCAGTATCTCGAGTGTGAGAGCTCCAAAGCCCTTTACAGAGTCTAATTTAACTTCAGCTTGTGCCTGGAAGCAAAGTGCTCTTTTTTTGGAGAGGGGTGAAACTGAGGGACCATAGGCTGAGGTTAATTGCTTGTCTCATACACAGTCCACAGATTTGACTCAAATAYGACCTCTCCTCAGTTCCTGTGTTCCACTTTCACTGCTCAGTCTTATTCTGCTGAAAAGGGCAGGAGAACTGATATTTTGCTGCTTTGCACAATTCAAAATTTGCACTTGCAGGTGCTAACAACCCTGTCTCCCAGGTTTGGTCCTCTTTGGCTCAGTAGCCTCCCTGCAAATAGGAATTGAAGGACCTTTCTAGTGCATGGGGWTTTTCTGACCTCCCACTGTTTCTTTTCCTCTGGAGAATAGCCTCCAACTCATTGAGGACACTGTTGATCCAAACCTCTGTGTCTCTGGCTCCTTATATGGTAACATGAAGAAGTCTGAGCATTTTAGCTCTGGAGTTACCCTGGTTGTCTTCTCAGCTGGGGAACTAGAAACTTTAAAAGCTTAGTCAAGCTGGTTCTCACCACCAGGAAATCATTCCTTGGTTCATGCACGTATGTGCTGCTGTCTCACTACTGGCTTAGTGAAGACCAGGCTGCTCTGGCAGCAATGAAAGTCTCCTACAGAACCTTTACAGCAGGTACAATTTTAAGCATTCCAATTTTTTTCCCTTCTGGAAGAGGCTTTAAGATATTTGTTGTTATAGCAGCAGAAGAAAGGCCGAAATGGAGGGAGGGAGCCAGACAGGCTGTGGGAAAGAATTGGCTTTTCTGGGAGACCACACACTAACATGGAGCTGATGGTGGGCAGTGAGAGCAGGAAGTAATGGAGCTGGGGACATCTAGAAGAGACTTGAAGAGGCTTTGCACTCCTGAGCCATCACATCCAGGCATGTAGGAAGGGGGGAAAGATTCCTGAAAGAGGGTAGAGGTGTCCTTGTTCACCCTAGAGCAGAATGCATTTTGGTGACTTAGCCCTACCTCTGACAGAAGCCACCCTAGAAGGAGGCAGAGCAGTGAGCATAGCTAAGGTTTCCCGATTGCCAGACACTCTTGTTTGTTTGAGAAGTCCTTGAGTGACTTTGCATGAATTTATCAAAGCTGGAGTGGTGCAGTTTTGCACAAGGTTAGCAGAGTGCTCTGACAAGGCTCTCTTGTGCTGGAGTCCAGCCCACCCTTCTGTGCTAAAAGCTCATGGTTGACTGTGGTGCTGGGGGCACATATGAGCATGAAACCACATGGCAAATAACTGCACTAAATTACTTGAGACACATTTAAGGGCAGGAACAAAGGATTATGACAGCTAAGGGAACTCCAGCAAATTTCAGGGGTTGTGGGAGTTCGATGTCTTTTCAGGACCAGCTACTAGCATTAAAAAATGGCATATGAGGATTCTTTACTTTTATCTCCTCTCTAGATTTCATTCTGATGAGACAAATCCTGACACCCACTGAGAGCTGGACCCCCTGCCATGTATCCCCAGTGCCTTGTCAGCCTCAATTTTTAGAAGTAACCGTAATTTTCTCTTCTCATGGCRCAGGTTCCACCGTATTAGCAGAGCGGCTGGGATTGTCGACACCGAGCTCGCCCACATCACCACCCAATTCCCCCACCGTCCTCTGCAGTGGCGTCTCTGGCCCCTTATTGTCTACGTGTGGCTCTGGCCCCCTCTGCAGCTCTATCAGTGGTAAGAGTGGTGGGATCCCCTGCTGCCATTCCTTTGCTTCCCTTCATAGTCTCACACTTCTCTCCCAGAAGGGCTCTAAAACCACAGTAATCAACAGATTATTATTATCCCGTCAGCTCCCCTGGGGAGAAAGGGAGAGCCTCTGCAAGGGCTATTTTCAGTCTGTTTTATGTGGAAGCCGCTTGGATGCCTAGACAGCAATATTTCTCTAACCCTTTTCATCGTGCARTGTCCCGAGGGAAGCAGCGGATTTTCTGCTGCGTGCGTGGCCCTGTGACGCAGAGCTCCTTGTGGAGAGCTGTGTGGCAGTGACACGTCTCACGCTAGCTTGGACTGCAGCTGAGGGTCTGCCTCCACCTCCCCCTTCTCCCTCACACATCTTCCCCCTTCTCCCTCACACAACTTCAGTAAAATGCCGTATTGCTGCTTTTAACAGTGATATTTAGATAAATGCACATGCAGTAGAAAAGGATAGGCTGTTCTGCAGCACTTCTAAAACTCCAGACACCTGCATGATCCCAAGGCACTGATGGTGGGATATATGACTTACCGAATCCTTGTTGCATGGGAACAGCTGTCTCTTGGTTTGCTCTGTGTGGGCAGCAGACCCCAGTAGATGTTGCCTTCCAGCTGCCTTGAGCCTTGGCATGTGAACCAAGACACAGCGAGTGGGACAGCAGGGCACACACAGGAAGGAACCCTGGTCCTGGAGCATGTATTTCWGCTGGGGCATGGTTCCTCCCTCTGTAGTTCCAGGGCAGAAATTACCTTGGGATGTCAGGAAGSAACAGGAATGACCATTTTTTTTGTGTTTCAGGCACAGCTCCCAACTCTCCAAGCAGCTTGCCTGAGTCCCCCATCTCCCCGTCCGTCTCAGGGCCCTGGGTAGATGAATGCACCATCTGCTATGAGAACAYGGTAGACACAGTCATTTACTCCTGTGGACACATGTGTCTCTGCTATTCCTGCGGGCTGAAGCTCAAGAAGATGGCCAACGCCTGCTGCCCCATTTGCAGACGGGCCATCAAAGATATCATCAAAACGTACCGCAGCACTTAGAGCAGCAGCAGTGCCGTGGTGGGACYGGGCAGGTGGGGAGGAGGCTGTGGAACAACACAGGTCTTGGTCTTTATTCATCACCCAGGAGATTCAAAAACCATCACCCACCACCACCTGACCTCCTCTTCCATGGACAACAGATGAGACAAGCTGCTCTTCTACCCCCAAAGCAAGCCCTGGGGCTGAACTCCAGTGTCAGGGAAGTTGCAATGGACTACTCTCCCTTGTGGATTTTAAACTTTTATCTCAAAAAAAGCCAGCTGGTGCAATCATCCCTTTTCTACACCGTGCACAGCCGAGGGGAGTCTCCACTCTTYAGCAGAGACAGCAAGTGGTGAAAGGTTCAGTGCTACACATCTCCTTTTAGAGGCACCCCACGCGCAGAGACAGAGAAGAAACAGAGGAGAAACAAGGAACACATTTCTGTGTGCAGCCAGCCTGACCAGAGGGGACTCCTTAGAAAGGACCGAGCAAGGCAAGCGTTGACCCTGGGAGGGAGCACACTCACAGCAGAGAGGCTGGGGCCAGTGCAGAGAAGAACCCAAGATCTGTGCAGCAAAACCCACCCCAAATCTGCAAACAGAAGAGCAGATCCATGGCAGCCCCTTGAAGGCTGCCCTCARTTCCTCCATTGCCATTTTCTGACAGAGGCTTTCTTGGTGGGTTTGATAATCAACACTGGCACAGCCCCACAGCCCCTCATGCCCCCATCCCGCTGCACAAGAAGCAGCTCTCGAGCCCCACCACCTCCCCCCTGTGCATGGTGTCCATGCAGCACAGGGCATTCATCTCTGCTCCCATGGGCCTGCGGCAGAGGGAGACCCAACTCCCTCACCTTTCTGCCCTACCATCCAGACAGCACTTGTGAGGAAAAACCCCAACCTCACCGGGGAAGAATGTATCAACCCACATGTCTGTGGGTTACCTTTACTGGTAACTTTATCACTGTGCTTTAAGACAAAACCAGCCAGGTGGTACTCAGCTCTTCACAGCCACACCGGCAGGACACGGCTGTCCTTAYGTGTCAGGAAGTAAGGAACGAAAAAAGTATAACTAGAGGGGTTTGGTTTGCTTTGGTTTATTTAAAGAAATCCCTTTGTCTCCTGCTCGAGTTGGGAACCCAGCTGTGCCAATGGTGGCCCCCATGGTTGCCATGGTAACCGCTGCTGCTCTGCCATGGCCGCAGGCCTGACCCGGGGCTGTGGCCCTTAGGCCTGGGCTGGGTGCCTTGGCAGCTGTAGGAGCTGTCTGCCTCCCTTCCCAACCCATCCTGCTGCCTGCCAGGGAGGGACTYTGGGTCCTGAGGGAGGGTCAGGGCTGGGGTGCCACAGCAGTGGAGTCTGCCCCAGCACATCACCCCTCTGGCCAGACCAGGGAAGGCTGTGGAGTGCACCCTTTGTGCAGAGCTTTTCCTTCCACCCCAGCATTTGGCCAGTGATAGGATGGGGGAGCAGTGTGGTGTAGGGATAACAGCATTTAATGCACACACGTTGTGGGTTTTCACCACCCACACTGGCAGAGGCTGCTCCTAAAAACACCTGGAAAATCTAAATACACCCTGAAACATCCTCACTGTGTCTCTCAAGGAGAKGCAAAAAGAGACTGCTCACTGGGGAGACATTGTAGAGCCTTTGTGTGAAGGTGCCACCATCACTGCAGCCCATCCCGGAGGGTCTGCAGCTGCCCCCCAGCCTGCCCTGCAGGCAGCACTAACCTGAATGCTGAAACTCTGGCTGACAGGGATTTATGTTATTTCCTGGCACACCTCTGATGTACAACCCAAGCCCAGCCCTGTCCCCTGGGCCAGCTGCCAGAAGCTCCAGAGCTTGTGGCTCCCATGCCCAGATGCCCTCAGTGAGGGGCTGGGGYTGGCACAACCTGGGGAAAGTCAGAGCAGCCCTGCAAGGAGCACCCAGGGCAGCTCCAACTGTGACCAGCACACACAGGGAGTCCTTTTCAATAGTTAMACAAACTCTAGTGCAAAGATTTCATAAAGGAGGAACCTGAGGGGTAAGAAGGTGTTGATGAAATAGTGGATGTGGGGAAACGTGCAATAAGCAGCCTCCCAAGCCTTCACCACACCAGTGGGACCAGTCCCCCTCCATGCAGGGAAAGCCAAGGGGTAAATTTTATTTTTCAAGAAATTCCATCCATGGGTACCAGTGCAGTGGTGTGAATTCCCCTTTAACCTTTTGAATTGAGAGTGTTTTAATATATTAACTGTGTTTGTTTTACTGTGGACCAAACTCTAGGAGTTAGCAGACGCTGAAAGCTCCCCCAGCATCTGAGTTCAAAAATTGGGGTTAAGTCCTGTCCCTGCATAGGCTGGCCTCCAGCTGTAAGCAGGGASGAGAACAAGGCTCTCTCCAGGGAGGAACAAAAACCAGCAAAACCAGTAAAAGTAACAACAGTCCTAACCTTTTGTTTTGTTTGACTGGTGTAGGTTCCCATGTACCTCTGTGTTGTGTCATTTGCATTTCATTGCTTTACTTTAAAGATGTTTTGTGTTCTGTTTAAAGAGAAGAATAAYTCATTGTGAAAAATTGGATAACTGTGATCGTGAATAAAGTTGATTTAGATATCCTGCAGCCRCATGGGTGACTCAGTATTTACCAGTTCATAAGCACAGCAAAACACGATGGGCAGCACAGTGAGAGGYTGAGGTAAGAGCAAGGGTGGCAGGAGAGCCTTTTCCTTAGGGGGAGCTCGGTAGAGACATCTCAGGCTTTCCTTCAGTGCTTGAGAATGGGAGGTGCTGGGGATGGACATTAATATCCCTTGGTGGGCACCACACACGTGTTAGGAATAAAGGGAGCCACAGAAGTAAAAGCAAGGGCTAACAACACTCCTGAAAGCTTAAGCCCCACACTCCTGAGCCTCCTCACACCCTCCCCAGAGAGAGGTCACGGCTTTTCTACTCTCACTGCCTTGTTTACAGACTGTTCTGTAACCACAAAAAAGCACCCTCCACAAGCACTAGAAAGAGAAAGTGTGCTGTGAGGAAACCCAGGACATGCTGCTCAGCCTYGTAGGGGCCAGGGAGGGTGGCTGAAAATGAGAAAGACCAGCACCATCCCAGCCCTGAACTGAGCAATGTGCTGAGAAGGCCCACTGACAGTCTGGGGTCTGGCCAAGCGAGATGCTGAGGTCAGATGCAGATGCTTCCTGAGTTTGTAGCAAGGGACACAAGGACCCAAAGGGAATTTGGATTCTCCAGAGGTGATGCCAGTTCCCTCAAAAGCCAATCCTCTGCTGCAGGTATCTGCTCAGGAGCACACCTACAATACAGTAAATGTGAGATTTTCTCCTCATCTTTTTAACTCTTCAGTAGACGAGAGACTATCTGGATCACACTCTTGTCACAGGATGTATTTGAGTTGGCATKTTCTTGCTCAGTGTGGGTGCTCCATCTGCCAAGGGACAGGGACATCCCTGTRGTGTCCACAGCCTCTCCAGCTGAAGCCATTCCACTCTCCCCAGCAGCCTAAAATATTCCAGACTGGGTAAAGCAAAACCACTTCCCCAACCCAGCCTGAGGATATCCCAGCTGTTGGGACAAGGCAAGGCTGCGCACCCATGCGTTGTCCTCCAAGAGCTGTTCCCAGCTCCTGCTTTCCCTGGCACAGGAGAACCTCTAGAGGGTCTGGAAAGCCTCATTCCCTCAGGAGCAAGGGACAGAATTGCACAACACAGAATGCCCTAGAAACTGGCAGCACTGACCTGCCAGACATGCTGAGCCCAAGCACTGCACGGATTAGGACAAGTGAAATGCTAATGCTCAGGGCCAAACTCAAATCTTCCCCTTCCTTGGCATCAGCAAGAGGGACCATGATCCACCAGGTTTTCTCTCTGCCAGCCTCAGCCTGGGCATTCCCTCCTGCAGCTGCCACATGAGCTTTGCATCCTCATCTGCCGAGCAYTGCTGGAGTCACCCTGCCCTGCCCTCCCTTCCCAGGCCACCACCATCACCTCACCACATCCAAACCAGAGCTGCAATTTCGCCATTTCTCCCAACTGTTCTCTGCCGCGATGAACTGTGGTGCAGCACTGACCTTCCCCAGCGAGGGCATCCCAGCACCGCAGCCCTCTCACTGCTGCAGCAGGGCTGTTCCGGGGTGCCCCGGCTCGGCGAGGAGGAGGCGGAGGAAGGTGACAGGGAGGATGCTCCGAAAGTGGTCCAGGAGCTGCAGCGCTGGTCCGGCATCGCCACCTGGTGCTCAGTGCCCGGCCCGACACTCAGCCCCCTGCTCCTCCCGATATCGATTTTAACAAACACTGCAAATACACTCAAGTAGGACCAGAAGAATTCAGTCTTGAGTGCAGCACAATTCTGCACTCTCAGAGAAAAATGGGCAAGAAGGGAGCAATTAACAGTGAGTTACAGTGTACAAGGGGATACATTATTATACAGTGATTGCACCAGCCAAAAAAAACCAAACCTATCTCAAGCTGGTTGGCTCACTCAGCTCGAAGGGGAGAGGGGGCAGTTTCCAGTCACACTTGCTATGTTTGTGCCCAGGATTGTGTGCTTATCAGAACCAATCCCTGGCATCCTTCAGAGCCTGAACAGGGCTCCTCGTGCATCATCCAACCACAAGCCAGCACAGAGGAACATCTCTTCATTCAAGCTGGAAATTAAAGTGCTAAAAAACAACCTTGTTACCCCTCCACTATTAACGTCTCTTGTTATAACCTCCTCCCCAGTATATCYCGTAATCCACTGCCTTTGGAATCCCCAAGAGATGTCCCTGCATAAGGAGAGGAGATCCATTRCCAAAAATTTCAGTTTTACCTGGAAAGCAAGGAACTCCTACTTGTTGAGCAGTTTGAGCCTCCAACCTTCTCCTTAGTTTAGAGGAGTTGGCATTGCCCTGCAGCCTTGCAGGACCAGACCTCAGTTTCCCACATTCAAGCATCAGCTACTCTGCAGCCTTCACCAAGGGGCTCATTCAACCTTGCAGAGCAACTCTTATCATGGAAGCAAAGGACCACTTTTACAAAAAAGCATGCTTTTCTTCTTATTTTGGACCTATCCTTCTCCAAAAAATGTCCTGACTTGAGTACGGTAAACCTTAAGAACTTGTTCAACACAGACAAAAGTTCTTTATGTTCGAGGGCTGAGGTGACTAGTCCATAAACTTTGTGAAATAGAAAAAAACCACAAAAATACAGCTACAGTAATGACTTGGGCCAGGGAACAAGACAAGCTCCTGCATCCATTTAGCCTAAAATGAAATTTGTGATTGCATGAATACATAAATTACAAGTTATTCTGGGAAAGATAAATTCAGTGGAATTCAAGTGGAATTTTCAAGTACTGAAAAAATTAGAAGAAAAACCCCAACAAAACAAACCAACTGGATCACAATTAAAAAGGTCAAAAATTTATTTTTCCTTAGGGCATAAGAGGCGTTGTAAACAAAATACCAACAAACAAACAAACAAATCACAATTCTTACAGTCTGCAAGCATTTGAAGATAGAGTACCCTTTTCCCACCTCCCCCCGAACACTGCAAGCCTGCTCAAATGGTAACAGGCACCAATCCTGGGCCCTGAAGGTCCAGGGAGTTTTGCCATGTCCCAAGCTGGGACTAAATTTCTCATGTAAGAAGGACACTGCATCTGTTTGATCAAACACTTAAAAAAAATGTCCAACAAAATATATTACAGACAAAGATCAGATTTAGCACCACCTTTGGTCCAAGCAATCARTGAACTGGGAGATGACAGGTACAGTTTGATTAGCAAGTTCTTTCTGCCTGAGTCTTTGAAAACATTAGAGGTTCACATTTCAAGAACTTGTAATAACTCTGAAAAAAACGTCCTCAAACTCTTGCAGTCCCTCACAGCCTCCCAAGGTCCTGCACGCAGGGAGGGGAAGCAGCCTGGCGAACAGCACCCAGGTTAGCAAAGATGCTCTGAGAATTTGTGGGACATGGCAAACACTGTGCCAAGGTCTGGTCCTGCTCTGGCCCAGCAGAGCTCTGACTTCAGGCATGGCTGAGGACCAGAAGGGCAGTGACAGCGTGCATCCTGAACTTCCCTTTCCACTAACACTTGCCATTCTCCACCCTTGGCAGCCTGAAGCTCCTGTGAGCTGCCAGGGTGGGTGATGGCAGATGCCTGCAAGGAACTGAAATCACCTCAATGCAAGCTGTTTCAGCRTATCTGAAACATGCAGATCAGGAATTCTTTTATCAATTGCAGTTTATTCCAAGGCATTTTTAGGCTCTTCTTTCCCAATACGCACATGCATATCACAAATGCATAGCTCTGAATTTTTGCAGAGGTGTCACTGACCAGTTGCTGTGCCACAGCACCACTGTATGCCAGGAAACAGTCACAAGGACCAGTGATAATCCTGGGAGARAAGTTCATAAAGCACCTGGCAGTATTTTATGTTTATTACACCTCCTTCTCCTGTAAGTGTCCAGAATTCAAATTGTCTTTCCCTTTCCTGCAGGAATTTTTGAGCAGTCTTAATTACCCATTATTAAATGCTGTTGAGTTCCAAAATAAGACCAGCTCTAATAAATGCCTAAATAGAAATGCTGAGATATACTTTTAGTAATCGGAAGCCTTTGTTCTGCATCTTCACATGTACAATTGTCCAAGAGAAATGTTTTTTTCTCATTCTCTGTTGAGAGACCCATACAGAGTTTTTACCTTTACAGACAGAGG